ATGGGGCTTGTAGTATGTATGCTGAGTTTCTGCTTGATTTTATTGAATTCACAATCTTGGTTCCTCAATTCTCCACCTGAAGAATAACAATTACTATTTGTAATGTTGCAATGCTTCTACTTGACAAGGAAACTTACCATCTGGAATTTACTTCAATTTTGCCCATTATTTACCTTTCAAAATGATCAAAATCTTTGGCCAACATGCCAAACTGTATCTTCCACTCTCAACTAAGCACTTTGTGCATGTAAAACATCTTTGAATTATGGAACTCCTTTAAAGACATTGATATGCTGCAGTTTTGAAAGGGCTATAAAACGTAGAATCCCATAATCCTTGGATTTGATATGGTGCCTTATCACGTTATCAAGATGTCTCAAAGTGCATCATAGAATATACCGTAAAGTGGTGTGACTCTGTGTGTTTTGTGGGCGAATACGGCAGCCAATTTTGCACATGCCAATCTCCCACAAACAGTTTGTTGGGCAACACATTGGAATAAATTATCTTTTCTTGTTGAATAGTGACATGGGATCTTTAACGAGCACCTAGGCAGGCAGACAGGACCTCAATTTTAACATCACATCTGAAGGAACACATCTCTGACAATGTTGCACACCCCCAGCACTGCATTTGATGTATGCAGAAAAGCTGATACACTAATTCCTTTATCAATGGGTTATTGATTTAAATTTCATGTTGTATTATTGTATTATTGTTTTCCTGACACCAAAGATTAAAACTTCTACTTTTTCTTTCTTTTCCGCAGGTCCGAGGCACAACAGGTTGATTATTATTTTAAATAAAAGGCCTTTTAAGCATGTTATAACTTTTGTAAAGTTAACAGCATTGATGATCACTAGATGATTCTAGATGGGGTTTAGACAATGTCAGTTCTCTAAGAAATAAAATTCAAGCCCAAGCCTTTACCAAATATTATTGTATTTTTCCAATAGTATTAATAAACTTATGAAATTTCCCAAGAAAACATAAAGTATTTGCTCAATGTATTGAAAAAAATGAACATCTTTAACTTTACGTGTACAATTTCTAAATTTCCCTAAGCTAATTTAGTTGCGTTATCCATTACCCATTTTATCAAGATCTCAAAATTAAAACATTCCTGGATATTAACAGCTTGTTCCACTTAATACTGCATTTTATCTCTGCAATATTAATTGTAAGGCCTAAAATGCTTAGAATTTTATTCTTTGGATTCATCATATCTTCCTCCATCTCCTACAACACAATTTAGCTATGTCATGAGTTATTGTTAATTAAAATCAAATTTTAAGCAATGGCTACATATCCAGATTCATTATATGATAAATATATTGATTTAAGAATTAAATCTGCTTGTCTCGCGGAGTTATATTGTCTATCTTGCAGAGCATGCAATGCAATTTGCTTAAAAATAATGAGGGGAGATTGACTTTAGTACTCTCTTGCCAATAGGGTAAGATAGCAAGACTACTTTAAAGATATTGAAGATGATATTTTGGATTGTGATTAGTTTGCAGCATATTCAAAGAGCTATCCATTAATAGCGAACTGCTAAATACATAGTGTACATCAGACCATCTCCAGTCTGACTATTGCTCTAAATTAAGGTTAAGATTTGTAAATGACTGATTTTGAAATGAAAGCATTAAACTGGCAAGTGATGTTTCATTTTCCTAAGAATAAAGGATTGAAGCTAACTCCTAAATCGTACTCCTTTAGATAAATTTCTTACTTAACAGCAACATACTTAAATCACAATGTGTGTAATTCAGTAAATAGTTTATTTAAAAAACGTGAACCAGCTCAGATTTATATTGTCTGTAAAGCTGTTTATGTTTTCTTTTATTTAACAGATATATTATTTTTCTATTTCATGATTACCAATTTTGTTTTTGCAAATATTCAGAAATTGGTGTTTAGATTAATAGACATTTGAACTGTTGCATTATTTGGAAACACTTAAAGTTCCTAGGTCAACTAATGTACAGCTCAGTCTTTCAGTTATGGGTCTATTTTTATCAGCCTTTGCAGATGTGTACTATAACTATATCATTATATAAACCATTTAAACTTGAGATGAAGATAAAGTGGAATATATTTAGTATCTTAAAAAATAGACTTTGCTTGGAGTTTACCAATTTATGTTTACTTCATTCTTGCATCACAAAATCCACACACATGATATATATGTGCATACATGAAAAATACCAGTCAATCCACTTCACAATATGATCTGTGAAGACCTTTGAGATGTCTCAACAATGTGATAAGGCACTATATTAAATACAACAATTATTATTATTATTACATGTATTTGCCACGGGTACTTTACTATTCTCTGTATGGAAGGTAATAGTACAGGAGGAGGAAACAAAGCTGCTAAAGTTTAAGTAAGCAATATTCAAAAATAAATTTCTCTTTAATTTTTTAGATTAAATTAGCACCAACAGTTTCCAACATGGATTAGCAGCGTATGTTGTGGGCAAATAAGATCAGATACACAGCAACCTTCTGACACAAGTCTGACTCTGACTGTACACTGTGTACTTCATTCAGGGCAAGATGACCTTAGCATAGATGAAGAATGAATACATAAAGGGTGACAATTTCCAAGCAAGTACTTGATAATCAAATTGAGAAATAAACATGTTTTTAGTCTTACTGATTTTGAATAATGGTAACTGAATGCCATTGAGAACCCACTGGATTTCTTTCTGTTAGTCCTGGATGGTTAAGGTGTTTTCCTAAATAGAATGTAAGGTTAGATTCACCTAACCGTTTTGATTTCTGATCAGCACAGATCAGGTGCATTCTTGAGTAGACATCATATATCTTGAACACTTGACACTTACAGGGGACTGTCATGGGAGTTTACCAATTGGCAACAAGCACTTTTCTTAGTGAAACAAGCAACGGGTACACTATGGTCACTTTTGTTAATTTTAGTGTTGGTCTGCTGCATTTTCATACACCATGACATAATACAGTACTTTGTTTAAGGCTGACATGACCAATGCCTTTTATACTTGTACCAACACTATCATGGGATTTGCAAGGGAGTTATGGATTTAGACTACTCAGCAAAAATCATCTGTCCTCTAAGATAGAGATTCTTTTGTGACCTGCAAGCATATTATTCTTTTCCTGAAGTGCAGTGTATGTGCATTTCATGTTGAGCTATGCTGCACACCAACAAACCCGTGGGGAGATCCTGTTCCTTGCTGTCCAGTGAGGGCTCAAATCTGCATGTTGGGATTTCAAATGCCTATTTCTTGTGAGGGTGAGGTAAGTGGGAGCTGAGCTGGCTCCAAGGTGATGTACCTGGAAATGCAATGTTGGAATCAAGTTAACCCTCTGTAGCAGTCTGTGGAAGCGCTCATATTAAGCCTGGCTCCTATTTAACCCTGTAAATTAAAGGCCTAATGGTTCCGGTAGTCCTCATTGGATAAGCAGTGAAAAGCTCGCCTGACAGTACTTTTAATGGCAAACTTGCAATTTTACTGCTTAATCTCTAACCTGCCTCCAATGCACACTGTGGAGTCCCCAAGCCTTGGCTTTTGCCAGCCTGTTCCTAATATTCTCATGAATTAAATAAGTGGGATGCACCGCTCCAAGGAGAGTTTGTGCATTCCAAAACATGGGAATTTTTACATGTTGGTGGGGCTCATGAAACTCTGGTTAGGATCCAACTGACCAAGGAAATTCAGTCAAAAAGAACTGGAACAAAGCAGTACAGGCAAAGTATTTCCCATGTACGTTTTTATATATATATACCTATATTTAAAAAGAAGAAATTACAATTGGGTTAACTTGCTCAGCAAATCTTTTTTTAAAGCACCCAAAAATCTTGCTCCTTTTATGTGTGAGCAGGAGTCACATAAACTGATAGTTGCAAATGTGCTGCTTCAACTTCACCAATGTAGACTGAAATGGCCGGTTGGTTGCATTTTTGAAACAGAATCACGATTTTGCAAAGCTTTACTGTTTTCGAGCCTAAAATTTCCTTGTGTGTGTGTGCGTGTCCAATAAAGGAAACAACTGTTTGCCAATCACCGTACTGGTCATTCGGTCCTTGAAAAGAAACCGTGAAGAAAAAAAAGAGCGTAACTCTGGAGCAACTACAACAACAAAAAGAACAAAATGACATTTGTATAGGACGTCCCAAGGCGCTGGACAGACAGAGTTACGGACCCGAGCTGGGGATCGGGGTCGGGGAGGGCGGGGGAGGGAGGGAACCAGGGAGATCGAAAGCACGGTCGAAGAGGAGGGTCTTGAGACAGGTCTTGAAGGTGGCGAGGGAGGGGGGGGGGGGGCGAGGCGGAGGGACTGCGGGATGGAGTTCCTAGAGGACGGGGACGGAATGGTAGAAGCCCCACCCGCCCGCCAGTAGCGGGGCGAGCGCGGCGGTGGCGGGGGCGGGGGCGGGGCGGGGGCCGTGAAGCGGGCCGGGTGACACCGACACGACTCCTTACAACGGCAACGGCAAATCTTGCCGTCGATACCGCGCCTGATCACGTCTTCGAGGCGTCCGGAAGCGCTTCGCGAATTGAACCGCATTATTTTGCGGGCGGCCAACTGCGGCCAACCCCGGGATTGAAGTGACCAAATCATTCATTTAGTTTGGGAGAGATTATTACCCCCTCATTATTACCATCATTACCTCCCTCCCCCCCCATCCTCCCCACCAACAGAGCTAAGCATTACACTCAGGTTCATCCCCACACGTTGGGCACAGACACTGAGTCCCCATTGAGGTGTCACTGCTCAGCCAACTGCACCCGCGCCTGCGCACTGGGGGCCGTCCAGAGGGAAGGGGTGGTGGGGACGGACAGGAAGTGACGCGTAGGCCCCACCCCCACCTCCGGAAGTGCCGCCCCCCCGTCTCGGTGCCCGTTAGCTGCGCGAGCGGACAAACCTTGAGCGGCGGCGGCACCGAGGAGAGCCGCAGAGAGAGGGAGGGAGAGGGGGAGAGAGAGAGAGAGAGAGAGTGAAAAAAAAGCAGCGGCCATGTCCATAGCGCATGACGTGCTATTCTCCCAAATGGCAGGTAACGAATGGCAGACTCGTCGCTGTGCGTGCGGCCCGGGGGCCAGGCCCGGCCCGGGGGCCAGGCCCGGAGTCAGCTCAGGCCCCGGGGAGGAGAGGAGAGGAAGGGAAAGGAAAGGCCACTGGGGCTGTGACGGGGGCCCTGTCTTTGCCTGAGAGGCCAACAAGGCCCTGGGCGACAGCAGTACTGATATTCCTAATGATAATCCTCGCATTTGACACAGCGCCTGATCACTGCTCCGAGACGTCTCAAAGCGCTTCGCAGAATGCACTGTAAAGTGAATTGACTGTACGTTTTGTGGGTGAAACGCAGGGGACTCTATATGGTGGTGGGGAGCGGGGGGGGGGGGGGGGTGCGCATACGCTGTGACTGATATGGACAGGTGTCCATCTGAAGTTCATGTTCCTCCCGTTGTTCACTGGGACCTGGTCGACATGGCTCCAGCAATAAAAAAAACTAAATGATTGGGGTTTTCTGCCCTCCCGTCATCGCAGCCAAAAAGGCAAAACACTGCAGATGGTGGAAATCTGAAATAAAAACTATCTATGGAGAGAGGAGAGTGAGTTAATGTTTCATGTTCTGATGAACGGTCATCCTGAAACATGAACTCACATTTCCTCTCTCCATAGATGCTGCCTGACCCGCTGAATGTTCCCAGTGACATACGTTTTTATTGACTCTTGAGCAGTTGTTCCACCTCCTTATAACATGCACAAGCAGTTCATTTGAACTTTTTGTATAGCTTTCAGGCAGCACTCCTGTGGTCAAAAGACATTGGAATGTTGTGGAGTGATTTCAAAATGTGATTTCACCACTTAATATCACGATAATAATTCTTGCATTTAGTTTAGTGCACTTCACATCAAGTGGATGTTTCAAAGTGCTTTATAATAATAATAATAATCCTTGCATTTGATATAGCGCTTTTCACGTCGGGAGGATGTCCCAAAGCGCTTCACAGAATACACTGTAAAGTGAATTGACTGTATATTTGTGGGCGAATGCCGCAGCCAATTGCGCACAGCAATGTCCCACAAACAGTTGTAGATTGAAAATGACCAATTTATTATTGTTTTTTTTTGGTTTTGGAGGGATTATTATTAGGTGTGTGGAGTAAGGAAACTTGCCCAAGGTTTCGCCCTCTGCCTGGAATTGAACTAACTCAGGTCTCTCGCTTGCAAAGCGAATGCTCTAACCACTGAGCTACAGGACTCCACTTTATAGGGTTTAATGGAACGTGTAGTGATTGTGTATTTTTAGGTGAACTTCCTTAGCTACTTGGAGAACCACAAGGCGCTAGATGTGTTTCATTAATCGAGAAAGAATTGATGCAGCTCCTCGAAATTGTGCAAAGCATAGATGATGTTGATATAAGCCAAGTAGTTACTTAAACCAGGTGTGTACAACTAAAGAATGTAGGTTTTAAATTAGCAAGCCTCAGTTGAGGCTTATATAGCGCCTAGAGTTGTATAGCGCCTTTCACGTCCTCCCGACGTGAAAGGTGCTATACAAATGTAATCTTGTTGTTGTTGAGAGATCAGAAATATTGTCTCCTCAAGCCCCATCCTCTCCCACCCTCCACAAGCACACATGTAATAGTAGTTATAGGGAATGGACTGGGGAACTATTAGAACACATTTTCTATAAAAACAATTGAAGATGTGTTTATTAGCTATTTTAACAACTGGATAATGATCTGCTCAACAGTAAAATTGAAGGTTTTAGGGATGGGACCAAATGCTTCAAGCGAACTGGATTCTGGGATGTTGTCTTTGGAAAGATGTAAACCGAGATTGAATTGGTGGAGAGGAAGAGAGGAATGTTGCTTGATTTCTCATGGGAGTGGGGTGGGGGATAGAAGAACTGCCTTCTCCCCACATGGGTGTCAGGGTGCTGAGAAGCATGTTATGGTATATTTTGCATAGTCTGGTAGAAACTGATTCAATGGCATTTTTATTTTACATGCTCTTTTAGGTTTGGAAGTGCAGCAGTATATGTAGATATGTACAGTTAGAAAATGTGAAGTCTGATAAAATACCGTGAATGAGAATTGTGAGGACTCTTATCAGTAGAATCATGTTGAGCACAGATGCACTATAAACATGTACAGAAATTTCATTATTTAATTATGTTATGAGTAGAAGTGAAATCAGTACCTTAAATTATTGAAATGGAAATTTGTGCCTTGCAACAAAATGTAAATATATGCAATTAAAATCCATTTTTGTTTGGTCAGCCAAAAATCTGTCACATGCAGAAATTCATCACCCTAATTAAGAGTATCCAAACCAAAGAGCTCCATGTATACAACTTACACAAGTAAGAAATTTGTTTGGAATGGAATCAACACTCACAGGATACACCATGCTTAGCTAATTCTGGAGTGTTTTAGACACAGGTTGGCAAGAGCCAAGGTTTGGGGACCCCAGCATGTGCGTTTGGGGTACTGCTGGAGTTTAACCAACTAAAACTGTGCAGCTTGCCACTGTCTGGCAAGCTTCCCGCTGCTTGTACAGATAGGACCACCCTACTTGTTAGGGCTTTGGCTTGGAAGGTTAACAGGTGCTGATTCTCTGCCCCCAGTGACCGACCAGTCTGTCCCTCCAAGTCCTACTGACAAGCCAGCTGGCTGATCCGTCATCAACCATGCCCTGGAGGTTTGTGGACTTGCCTGGCTCAGAAACTGGTCTGCTGAGCTAACCACAGAGGATTCACTTGATTCTTAGATTCTGCTGTGAATTATGTCTCCTTGAGCCAGGTCATCTCCAAGGAGACACTGCTTACCCCCCCCCCCCGTCCCACACACACAAGGAGGACAGTCAATTCACTTTACAGTGTGTTCTGTGAAGCGCTTTGGGACGTCCTCCCGACGTGAAAAGCGCTATATCAAATGCAAGGATTATTATTATTATATTATTATTGTTGTCATCATCAGATATTTATTCTCACAGCATCAAAATAGTGGAAATTGTCTATTGTGATTTTAGGTACACAGTGATAGGCTGGTCTCACAAATGAAGTGAAACTTTATTTCATCTCACACAGATGCCCAAAATGCCTGCCAACAACTAATGCAGATACTATAGTGGGCAAATGTGGAGATTTTAACAATGTCACATGTTCTTAATTCACTGCATCAATTATCCCTTCTCAAAAATACAAACACTCCATGAAATATCTCCCTGATTTCTAAAGGTAATTGAGCAAAACCTATATGCCATAAATATAGTGTGTCAAAAAACTTCTAGTGTTGCAAGCAGGAAGCAAGCATTTATAAATCCTGCTTGCTTTGCACGCGAGCATACATCCATGCACAGAATACTGTTTGTCATTCTCCTGTAATGCTGGTGTATTTTGGAATAATTGAAAATAACTGACAGTGCCATTAGTTCTTTTAAATCAATGTAAATGTCAATGTTGTATTTAATTTTGTTAATATGAAATGTATAATGGTTTCGAATTGACTGCAGTGGTTTTTGTAGGCCCTTATAGGAGATTTTGATCTCATAAGATTTATTCTGGAATTCATTAGAAGCTAGCATTTTTATGTCTGAGGGGTGAAAAATGAAGCTGTGCAACCCATTGCTCCATTCGTTTCCTGATGTTTTGAATACATTTCAACTCGCATCACTTGTATCGTTGACAAATGGGATGATTTTTTTTAACTGTTTGAAATTATTGATGGGACTACTTGGGGCAATAACACTACCTGTAATTGATATTAAATGTGATGTCACACAGCATTAATGATAGCAAGCTGTGTGTATGAAGTGCCATGTTGATAAAGAGCAATACCATGGATAGTTGTTTTTGTTGAAGACTTTATTTTCATTTAATTAACATGAGCAACTCACAGAAAGTGGAAACAACATGTTTATACATCAGAAATGAGCTGTGAATAGTTTTTCTTTCCCTCTTAGTGCAAGCAACATTGCACAGATTTGCAGTCTTCCACATATATAAATAGCTCAATCCATACGCTTAATTCCCCGACCTAATAAAGTGCAAGTGGAGTCTGCCAACAATGAGGGCTGCCCAGAACATACCCACCAGTGAGATTCAAAGGCCTTTCCTGGCTGTTCTCGGAAAGCTTGCCCACTGAGGGTAGGGTTATGAAGCAGTCATTTAGCCCAACTAGTCCGGACCACTCCTTACTTGTATGCAGATCCTTCAGTCGTCCTTTCTCCCTCCCTCCTTCCTTCCCTGCTGGTCACTTTTGGTAATCTTACTGATGTAGAACATCCATGAATGAATGCATAGGAAATGATGAAAGGAGTGGATGGAACATCAAACTGATCTAAGAGCCAATCCAGAACCTAGGGAAGTGCAGATGTGGATTCGGGATACAGTGAACATTAACAACTTACATTTATATAGCACCCTTCACTTAGGATAATGTCCGAGCACTTTACAAATGTGGTTGGATCCTGAGTGTGGGGGAAGGGGGAGGTGACAATAGGTATGGTCAAAGAGTTAGTATTTAAGGTGAGACTTCAAGACAGAATGAGAGGGGGCGAGATGGAGGGGTAGAGGGAGTTCCAGAGGCTAGGAGTGTAGAATTTAAAAGTTTTCATATGTACTTATTTTCTGCAATATTTTCACATGCAAGAATATTAAAAACATTTGGTATTGAAAAATAAAGTTTCAATTAAAAAAGTGACAAAAAATACAGTATTTTCTAAACAACTACAGTTACATTTAAAGTGAAGCATTGCTTATAGATTAAATCCTTGTTTTTCTGTGCATCTTACTTGAACAAACTCCCGAGTAGGTGGCACAATTCTGCGCTCTGTTTTTCTTAAATTAAGAAATATAGGTCCCCAGTCCTGTATCACAGTTATAAAGATTAGCATAAAATACAGATCATTGAAGAATTGGTAAGTAGTCTCTCTTTTTAAAAAAAACTTGATATTGTAGAAAGGAAGGAAGACTGGGGTTGTAAATACTTGATGAAATCCTGGGAAAGAATTAGTTGAGTAGTGTGGAAAGCATGTGGAAATCTTTCTATTGTAGCGACTGGTGAGAGTATTCACTTCTGTAATTTGATTGCATATGAGGCATTCACAGAAATTGTCATAAACTACTGAGTGATTTACAATAGGCTAATAGGCATGGTAGGACATTTCTCCTAATTTGCCATGTGCCAAAGCAAACTTCAAGAGGAGTGCATATCTTAAACAAAATGCAGCTATGAAATCACAGATTTTCAAAATCAAAATTGTGTGACTGCATCTTCCATCAAATTCTCAGCTGTGACAGTGTATCTTGAAACAAATTTAAAATACTTGATTATCACTTAGTGTTTAAACAATCTCAGTCTCCTCTGGCTCTGTCCCAGTGTGCAAATGGTGTGTGTGTGTTGGTGTTTGATTTTTAAAATTGTGATTATAGTTTTAAGAAATAAAACTTCATCACACATTACAGTGACTAAAAGAAAAAAGACTAAATTGTGCATTTCAAAATCAAATCTTGAATGTTACAGAGACCTCTGTTGGTGAACAGAAGACCTCAGGGAGATCTTTTCATGCTCTCGTGGTAGATGTGGTGAGCTAAACAACTGTAAATCCATATGCCACAGAATTTCGTAGCCCAAGGATACACTAGGCTTGATTTTAGTAGAACACAATGTGCAAGTTTAAAGAGAATTTTGTATCGTAAATCATGGACAGAAGCAATGGGCTGCAGTGGTTAAAGCAGCATGAAATTTTAGTGTTTGGTGATGTGACAGACTTTACAGCACAGACTTTACAGCCTTGTATATTTTTTTAAAACGCAAGTTTTCTTTGTAAGTTTGTTATTCTATTCTGAAATATGCAGCTGTAAATGTCTGTTGAGATCTTTTACTGTTCTATTAATTATTGGCCATCAAGAGGCTTGTCAGGCAGGTTTAAATATAGCTGAACAGTGCTCGCTATTAAGTGTAGCTTGAAACTGTTTAAACATTTTTATGTTTTCCTGTAATTGGAGTGCTTGTGTACAAAAAAACTATAGGTATTACTGTAATTAAACAAGTATGGTTTCACTTAGTACTGAAACTGAAAGGGAATGCAAATAGTGTCATTCAGTATTAAAATGTTATCATAATATTTTAATATTTACATGTAGCAAATCTGAGTCATTGATTAAATCTGAAGAGCTAATCCAGACTTTGTAATAAAGTGATTTTTTTCATTTTGTATGCATTTTTATTGTTGCATTTTCCAGTGCCATTGAAAGAATATGTAATGGAAGATTATTTTCTGGTAATAATGCAATTGGTGAATTGCAGCTTGTATATTGATTATTGCAAAATTGCATAATATCTTTTATTTTAATAACTTCTCCTGGAAACGTTGTCTCCCTTAGCTACACATTGTCTCCTTTATTGTGGTTTACCATTCTCATAAAGGGGAAACCACAGACCGATCATCAGTTCTTATCTTGATAATATCGGTAGAGTTATGTGATAATTTTGTCTGTTAGCTCGAAGGTTCATTGTTTTGAATAAATATGTCAAACGTGTTGCATTGACCAGAAAAATGCAGGTGTATTTCTCAGACTCAAGAAACCATATTAGAAATAATGATGAGTTCAAGCTATTCCAACCAATTTTATTATGTGTGTTCAATAGTAACATTTTCTCCTCTGAGTCAGAAGGTTGTGAGTTCAAGCCCCATGTCGGGACTTGGAATCACATCGCCTAAGCTCACACTCCAATGCTGTGCTGAGAGTATGTTGCATTGTTGGAGATGTCATCCTTTGGATAAGACTTGAAACCGAGGTCCCATCTGCCTGTTCAGGTGGACGATAAAGATCCCATAGCACTATTTGAAAAAGAAGGGAGTTTCTTCCAGTGTCCTGGTCAACAATACCCAAATAAAAAAAATTGGTAACTCCCTCCATGGCTGTTTGTAGGACATTGCTTTGTGCAACTGGCTGCTCCATTTCACTTATAAAATACACAGTCAATCCACTTAACAGTATATCCTTTGAAACGCTTTGAGTCATCTCAAGGATGTGATAAGGCGCTATATCAAAATGCAGTGATTATTATTATTATTATCTGTGGATAAAGCACAGTGCAAAGCTGAGCATTGCTTTGCTACATTTAGGGCAGGAAATTGCAGTATTATAATTGAAATATAGCAAAGTGCTTTGGAAGTAGTCTTGGTTGTGTAGACTTAAAATTCAGCAGTAAAACAATAATCTCGAGATTGCAGGAAGTAATTCACTCAACTAATTTGTCATTGTCAAATTGATTGACTGCATCATTTTATTTATACTTTTGTTTCATATTAAAGAATTTCATCCCTGTTTTTATTAAAATAATTTGGATGTAAATCATGGCCTTGCCAAACATGCACCTGCAAACTTGTGACCCATTTGTTTCATCCACCCATACGGATTGAAGCAAATAATTTTTGTCTTATCAATTTGTGTAATATCATTGCTGGTTATCTATATATTAATTATTTCTTTACAATATAGTGAATACTTATAAGATAGCCAGCCACGCCAGTGCAGTACTGAGGGATTGGTGTCTGCTGGAATAAAGATCCTATAGGACACTGATGAATGCCCTATACAATCTTTAGGTCATTCACTGAACAGGGAGTTCTCTGAGTGTCCCCTGGCCAAAAATGGCCCATCATCCCAAATTTACCAAAGCAGATTAATTGGTCATTCATCTCATTGCTGTTTGTGCAATATTGCTGGCACAGGATATCTTTAGCCTACATAATAGCAGTCAGTAAGGTCAAAGTAACTCATTGTGTAAAATGCTTTGAGACTTTTCAATATAATAATGTGTTCTATCAAATACAGGTATTATTAATATTAAACTGTTAGTGCAGTACTCTTCAGGAAAAAAAAGTTGGCAGATAACCTTTTGGAAATGAGTTTTGCTTTATTTTCATATCCTGCATCTGAATGTTAATACCTTATGAATAATTTGGTTTTATGGAATCTGAAAAATTGCTTTTCTGAAATTGCATCTTAGAATTTTGGCAATAGCAGCAGAGGAACAGGAGACGGCCATTCAGTTTATTAGATATTGCCAGATCTTTTAATCCCAATGCCTGCCCTTTCACCATGCCCTTTAATGCCTCTGTTCAAGTTGGTGTTTGTTTCTAGTTTAAGCCTCCTAGACAGCCTTCTTGGGTAGAACAGTCCACTGAATTAGTATTCAAGTGGATTAGTATTTTGAAAACCATCAACTCCAATACAGTTACAGTATATGACAGTCTTGGGTTGAGAAGATGGCAGAAAAGAGACTGGAAAATGTGTTTGACAACTGGTGTAGTTGAGGGTGGTCAAAAAATTGACCCAGGCCAATTAGTACTACATCTGTCTTAAACTTAATGCCAACATTACCGCAAACCTGGAAAATATTCAGCAACACACTAATCTTTCACAGAATACAGATATCAGATTTTCATTCCATTTAGCAATTAAAATGTACTTTTGTATGTTAAGCTGAGTCAGTTGGCCTCAGTAGACAAATGACTGCATCTAAACTTTTCTTTAGAAAATGTGATTAACCAATGATATATATTCCTATCAGTACATGAGTAAATCCTGAAATTGCAAAAGGACTTAAATTTGTGTAAAACATGAAATAAAAGAAACTCAAATTCACTCTTTCTTAAAAATGAGACTTGACTAATTTCCCTCTTTAAATTCTCATTCCTAGAAGATTCCAGCTGTAATATAAACCGGGTGAATTATAAAAAAAATTGTAGGAGTGTCCAATTAACTGCTTTTAATACTTAAGTGGTACAGTATAACTTTTTGGGTGTTAAGGCAAGCGGGCAGTTAAGGTAATTGTGAGAGAACATCAGATAAGATTAGAAGGTTCTATTCAAAAAATGATTCATTACCATTATTATTACTTAGCCTCACTTTATGTTCAGGAGATCCTTTTTGCTTTTATTTCAGCCATATCAGATGACCTTTTTGGTAACTGTAGACAGCCAATATGATGGTAATCCTTCAGTGCAAAATTAGGATTCCCGGTGTTCGGAGGGAAATAGATGCAGCTTGTGGCATTCTACTGCATGAAACGGATAGAAGCTGTTGTTTTTATATCACTTTTAATTCACAATTGAGTCTCTGTGCTTTACATTTCCTTTACAGTATTTATTTAGTGTGTGCCTTTGTTTTCACAGCTGCAGAACCTTGGCCAGAAAATGCAATGCTGTATCAACCACTGAAGGGTAGGCATTCATTTTTAGATTAAATACCGTAATTGTTCACAAGCACAGTTAAATAATTACCATGTTTTTCCAAATGAAGAAAACAAACTCTCTATGCAGTGAGCTACATTGTTCAGCAAGAGGAGATTCAGGGCATGTGGCAGGATTTTTCAGTATTTGGTGCTATTATGCCTCTCTATTAAGAGGTTTTAACCAACATCTGTCTGTCAACATAAACCAGCCATTCATGAAGTCTAACCTTCATGGTTTATTATTGAGCCATTATATCTATCGGCTCCTGTAAGTAGTTATGTGGCTGCAGATCTTATTGACAGATTTACCAACAATTAAGATATGATTTGTAGATGCAGCAGATTTTTAAATATTATGGTGAACTTTGTCTCATTAAAAAAGACCTGTTAAAATGCTGCACATTGGCAGAGACAGTTCAGGTTTCCTTTAGCAGCTCTTCATATATCATCAGCTCATGTTAAGGCCCCCATTTGGGGCACAGCAGCCTGCTCCAGTTGTCAGAAGACTGCAAAGTAATGAAGACTAATGGGTTGCTGCCCCAGTCCTCCAAACCAAGGAATTTTTATTGCAGTGAACTTGTCATCTTTCTTTCTTCTGACAGACTGAAATGTTTTATAATATTAACTTCAAACAGCTTTTTTAAGAACAATATTTGAGACATTTCTCACTTTTAAGTAAACAATGCAAAATGATTGTGGTGTACTAATGGTCCGATTCAGGTGATAAAATTGCCTTCTAAATGACTTTTGTCCTCTCATTATGCAGGGGAACAGATCTTGCTGTCAGACAATGCTTCATGTCTTGCTGTTCAGGTAGGAATACCAACACAGTCTTGTATTCTCAGTGCTAAAGGTCAACTAACAAGATTTGACACAAAATGTTTTATCAGCTTGAAAGGAAACTAAACAGTTGTTGGAATAATACCTACTTTGATAATTTATTTGAAACTCATTGAAGTTTGTTTAGGTTGGAAATCTGGTTCAATTGGTAGAGAAAAAAATGTCAGGAAATTAATAGAAGCCAGTTAACGGTGACCCAAAGATTATTTATACAGAAATATGAGCTCAAAGGTGAATGCTGTACTCCATGGAAGACTCAATTTCAGAACTTCATCTTTGGTTTCATTTACTGTCGTATGTAAATTGATTTATAATATATCATTTTATAACTTCTATTACATAGTTTTGCAGAAAGTGTGGTTCAGGCATAAAAAAAAAGAAAAATGCTCTGTTAATGGACTGCTGTGAGATTTCACTGACAAACTTATTTATAAATCTATCTAACAGTAAAATTGTTATATTCTTTGAGAAGCATTATGGATTTGTGAATTCAAATGGTTAAAATTATTGGATTTTTCTGGGCAACTTTCACTTTGAAAAAGCTTAGTTAAATGTAACTGTAGCTCAGCGTACCCTTCTTAGGGTTTCTTATTGATATAGTGCTGTTTTTCTTGATGAAGTTTAATTGAAAGTAGTTTATTTTCCTTCATATTGAATTTTATAGTTTCATCCTATAAATTTAAAACACTACATTTTTTAAAACAAATTTCATATGTATTTGACCTGAACCATTTTCTCAGTATTCAATGTCTATCAGTATGTAGTCTAACTCAGTATTGTTTTTATATTCAGAAAAAGTTATTTAAAGCCAATATTTACCCAACTTCGAGGTCTTTGGAGGGTGTATTAATTTTAACCTAGTTTTCTCCCCTCCACTTCTTCTGAAGGGTTTTGCCATTTTTCCTGGTGTACCTGTGTAGTGATTTTTGGGGGCCAATTGGTTATTATTCGTTTGCATCTTGACACAAGGTCTTGGCTGTGTGTTGAAGTGGGCGCAATGCTGTCCTTTAATTCTTTCAGTAGGTGTCTGTATCATGATCAGTTGGAAAGCATTACTGCTTTTATTGTCTCTAAATCAGGTGTGTCGAGGCCATAGGGGTAAAAACCTGGCATACATGCTTCTGGAAGGAATTGTTTAAAAACGATGAATTCTGAACAAAGTGAAGAGGGCAAATGAGCAGACAATTGGGTTTCATCCCTAAGTTTTTGGCACATCTGGTTGTTATCTGAAAGGAAGAAAAGTAGTTTGTTAAAGTGAATGAGACAAATGGAATAAAATTGGGGTACAGGGCAGTAGATGGATTTTATGGTCTTAATATGCTGGCAAAAAATACTAAAAAGTAATTGAATTCTAGTTCATGATGGTTTTTCTCAAGGGATCTTTTCAAACTAATAAATGCCACATTTGGCTTTTGACTCCGGTAGCTGGAAGAGTCTGCCAAACGGTACCATACTGCTGCTGCTACTTTTAACTTAGCCATGTGCCAAATCCATGCACGATTTCCATTGCTTACATGTATAAGGTAATGCACAGAAATGACGTGGGTAAAACGATGGCACTTGTGCATTCACACACACATATACACACACACACGCACTGGAATGGTGAAATCACTGCATGTTTAAGACCACCACACTCCTACGGGCCAGTCCCTTTTGTTTTTGATTAGCCGAGTGTCTGACATATTCAGAAACCCATCACTATGCTTAAGAATATCCAAATCAAGCTGAGATTTCCATGCATCCCACCTAGTCGTGGAAATCCCAGAGCAATTAGCTAATGGGCAAAATCTTTGGTTAGTTTACAATTGTGCCAACAACAACACTTTGCCATTGGCAAATACGTAAGCTAAACATGGTATAAATCCCTATTTTGCAAACGTCATGTGGCTTTCAGCATGAATCTTCTCTTAAGAGAATAATTTCCTATTCATATATATGTAGGAGGATTTACGTTTAAATGTAAAATAATTCGATTTTTTAAAACGGCTTTACAAACTACTTATTAAATATTCTAAATTGCGCCTAATACGTTTTGAATGGATTAAGTTCACATGGTTACTGTGAATTCTGAATAATTGTTGCTTTATGTCCTTTTTTGAAGTCAATACAACTGCAACGTTTTGCAACATATAGTCATTTTCAAACAATTTGCAGTTGCAATTCTAATACCTTTTTGCAATTTTCTATAGATTGCTTTTAATATATAAATATGGCCTGTGCTTTTCACACTTCTCCTAGAAATAATGTAGTGCTTTTTATGTCGTTCCTGAAAGGTTCACTGCTGCTTAAATTTGTTTAATATATTTGATATACTTTTCGCTCAAGTAATGGTGTGTTCTAGAGTAAAAGTTTTTCCTACAAATAGCAGAATTAAATATATTAATATTCAATAGAACCTCCTCCAAAACAAATTATACCAGAGGTTACACCACCCATATACAAGAAAAATAATTGAAACTTTAGTACTGTGTACACTGCAGTTTTCTTATTGAGAGCTCAGAAGTGAAAATGCATATATAGTCCATTGCATAATTTTCTCCAATATTAAGTTACAGGTGGAAATTAAATTGTGTTGTTGAAAAATCTGCATTGACTGATGTGAGGAATGGTTTAGCTTAACAGTAGACATACGTAATCGCCAGTGATATAAAACAAATAGTGAGTTGATTTTAAAATTACAAGTGACTGTACAATGCATTCATCTATCATTTCTGGACCTCACTTGTGCTAATGCTGAATGAACAACAATAACACTGCTTAATGCCATTTGTACAGTCCATAGCTGCATGTGAAATGGATTGATTTTGAAAATGATTACGGCTGGATGGTAAATTACATTCGGACGATTAAGGAAATTTGTTCAGTGTTTAAACTAGTACTTAATATAATTAGGTTCTTAATTTGTGTTAAACTACAAGTAGAGCCATTAGCCTAACTGGATTAGGAATTTGTTCTGACTCAGGGATGAGGAATGATGCAGTGCAGTTTTCATTTGTAACCAGACTCATAGGTTGAATTACAGACTCCATAAGTGTAAAAATGTGAAAGCAGCTTCAGGGTCCAGCAGTATGTATTTATAGTTATAATAATTTACAACTGCAAAAGAAAATACAGTATTTTAGAAACTGTTCCAAATACAATTGAGATTAACCTTTGCATTTGTGCCTAAATTAAACTTGGAAGAAATAAACTCATTGTGAAATGTCAATACTTGTACCGAAAAGGAAGTTGCATTCCACCATATCATGGACACAGTTTAGGAAATAATCCGTTATAATGCAGTATTTCTAATGCACTCTGATTTCTTTGAGAACATAAATATTCTTCTTTTATAGCCAGGATATTATTGAAATCTGTACTCTGCTAACTCTAAATTGCAGGCTCCAGAGATGAACTCCTGCTGGATATTCTTTGGAATGTTTTCTTATCAAGATAATTTAATTAGCAATAATAAAATCTACACAACGCCACCTCTTGATTTAGCAATAGAAATACAGTTAATGTTTCACCTGGTCTGAAATGTTCCCATCTATATGAGTATGTATTTATGTTTTACATTCGCGTAGAAAATTAGAACTAGAAAATTCCCATTGGAATATGCAAGCATATAATTTAATTTTTAAAAATGTTGTGCTTCTCATTGAGCTTATCAATGAGATACACTTGACGATAATTGTAGATAAACAATAATTCTTGAGTATTTAGATAGATAAAAAGTTAAATAACTTACAATGAATATATAAGAACTGTTAATTTTACAGTAAAATAAACATTCAATTTATTTTCTATATGTAGTTCATAGCACTTTAACTATTGCAGTTATGCTTTGCTGATGTTAAATCTTTAATAGGATTATTTTCTGTCAGCAAGAATTCCATTATTTGCTGATGCTGCTTTACACTTGTGTTGTTTAACTTTAGTTCTGGAGAATGGCGTCAATATCATTGGGTTATAGTTGAAAAGGATACGTGCCCTTAGAGTTCTAGAAATTCAGTGTCTGCCTCACATGGGACCTTGATATTGTACCAAGAGGGCTCTAAATGGTGACAGCAATAACATTGCAAGACAGTTATACTAAAATATTGACTTATGGTTCTCTCAGAGAAAGTGTTTGGTAACGTTCCCAAGTCAAATGGATTAAAAAAAAGCAGTAATGCCTCCTCATACAAGAATAGTTTTCTAAAATGTAAAGCTCTTTTAGCGTTTTTAATCATGTATATTAAATTGGGTGTAAGTTGAGACAGAAATGTGCAACAGTGTAATGGAGTGTTACAGAGTCATAGGATGCAGTTTTCACATTTATGGTTCCCTACCTCAGTACTTAATCTTGGTTATACCATCAGAAAAAGCCAAGCAAGTGCAGCTAAATTGTTTCCCCATAGAGAAGAATGGAAGGTTTTCCTGGATTGGCGTCACAGGCTGCCAAAATATTGCATTACCTGAGAACTGGCAGAAGGGATGTTGCCCTTCTTCTCAACCAGGAAACGGATGCTGGTATCTCAAGATCTGTAAAGAAGAGAGCAAAAAAATCCAAGAAAAAAATGGGAAGAGGGAAATTATTTTAAATTTCAAATATTTTGTGTTCAACGTGCCTATGGTGAGGAATGGATTGTGTTCCACCTTATGCCCAAATCAAATACTCCCAGCAGGATAGGTAGAGATAAAGGTGAAGGACAAAGATTTGCAAGTCTGCATTGGATTTTTAAATGATGAAGTGTGCCATTCAGTGTTTCCTACAAGCAGTCAAGCTGCGTAAAACATAAATACATACTCGTATAGATGGGAACATTTCAGACCAGGTGAAACATAAACTGTATTTCTATTGCTAAATCAAGAGGTGGCGTTGTGTAGATTTTATTATTGCTAATTAAATTTCGCCACACAATCCTGAACTCAAGCACATCATTTAACACCTAACTACATTACATGATTACTGCAAAAGCAGCAATATTACAGATTAATTTTCTTGGAGACCTTTTTATTAACACTTTTAAGCAGGAATAAGCACAGGAATCCTTCAGCTTACTCCACAATGATTTCTATGAATCAGTAAGTGTCTTGGCACACAGCCTTGCTGTTTTATTCAAAGCATGGGACTCATTTTAATGCCTCATAAACTCTGGGATTTTTTTCCTCTCAGACATAGTCGTTGGGTATTTCAAATAAATAGAAAATAAGCAGGGGGCCTGCAATATCTATACTAAAACATGAGGTATCCTCCATTAATGTGTGTCATTTTCTTTTTTTACTTATTGGAAATTGAACAATTGCCCATGCAAAAGAGATGGAAAGGAAGAGCTTCTAGCACAGTAGAAATAGAAGCAAAAACATGACTTCCTTGGTCTTTAGAGACACTGAAATGACAATACATTTATCTTAATATTATAAATATCCTGAGAATTCCATGGCAGCTGTTTAGAAGAGGACCGTGTCCTCAGTGTAGTACTGTGGCCGATTCAGTCAGCTGGCTGGCTGGCGGCACAAACACACCACCGCACAGCCAGTGCTCCTCATAGCAGCAGCAAGCAACCCGGTGACACAATTTTACAATTCACCTCAGGCTAGTTTACAGTACCTTGAATTCAATTTACTTTCATATAGTACATAGAATTGTTGGTGGAAAACTGAGACCTGGTTGGAGGTTGGCAGCATTGCACACTGAGGCAAAGTGCCAGCAAATTGTTTGTCTCTAACATTGTGCTCGCGTGAGCCTTTGGGGAGCCACACACAGTGTGCTTGCCAAACAAAATAATGATGAATTTGCTGCACGTCAAATCTGAAGGTTTCTATTCTTTTCTATTACTTCGCAGTCAGATTTTTCCCTTCCAGCTTGAAGTAGTTTGTAATTGGTATAGTATGAATTAGGACCTGCAAAGATTGCTCCTTGTATTGATCAAAATATTCTTTACCAGCCGTCAAGAAATGCCAAAGAAACAAATGCCTTATTATCTGGCATGAATAAATTTAAGAGAAAAACGGATTAATCGTATCATCCATTAAGTCTCCCACCCCACGCCCCAACATTTGAAAGGATTGCTTTTATGGTAAATCCATTATATTCAGCAAATTAAGAGTTTATTTCACAAAAAGGTATTGTACAGAGTGTGTTTATCTATTGATGGTTTGTATATTTGAAATTTACGTGATGAAATCAGTAAATGAAGAAACGCAACCCTCCGAACCTAAATATTTTTCTGATCTGTTGTAATTATGCACTGGATAGGGGTGATGGGAGGCAAACCTATTTTTTTCCTCCGATTGCTTTTGATTTGGATCAGCCCCACCTGACAGCCAAAGGCGGATTAACTATTTTCTTTTTCTTTCTAACGGTATGATCTGTCTTGAATTATGATTGCGCGTTTCTAAAATATTACTTTACTTTCATTGCAATGTTGTTGCATTCCAGGCATTTCTGCGGATATGCAATCTGTCAGTCCAGGTGGTTCACCGGGCAAATGCGGAGTACATGTCCCCATCTGGTAAGTCTGGAGCTGAATCAAATTCCTGGAGGGGCTGTTTTGTGTGATGCCATGGCAACATATCTTAGCCTGTAGCCAATAAACAGCACCATAATTTGACCTACCTCTGGTCACAAGCTATTCTTGCCACATGCTTTTGTGATGCTATATTCATTCTCCTTTTCCAACCTTGTTTATCTGTATTGTAAATGACTGTAAACTTGCAGTTATTTGAGAATTTCCATGCCAAAATGCGCGAGTTAGCAATATGCCACAGAGGATATTATGACCTTATATCTGAAAGAGCTATTACGTACTGATTATTCCAGCTGTGTACAGTTAGTCAAGCAAATAAGAATGAGCAGCTGTGCACTTACCTAGCACTTAGTTTTTATGACATGAGAAATTTAATAGAAGGGTGCTTTGCTGCAGAGGTTGCTGGGATGGTTATACATTATTTCTACTTTGAGAGTGAATTGGAAGATGGATAAGAGGCAAACTCTCAGGATTGACTTTTGGATGTTAGCAGTATGCATGTGATTCTCTTGGTCTTAAAGGATTCCCTTTGTGCCTGAACACATGTGAATAAAAGCTCAGAGACCTCTATGTTCAAAGAGACCTGCAATTCTTTTGTGATACATTTTATCATATGGATGCAGATGAGGCTTTTGTTCATACGTTTCACCTCATCTATTACCCTAAGGCTGCCTGTGAAGGCAATGAAGACTGAATCCATTCAAAGGAACCATGACGGAGCCTGCTGTTACTCTGAACTGTATGTGAACTGGCCTTAACAGCAGGTTTCATGCATATTGGCCAAACATTTTTTTCTGGTGCTTTCTTACCAAAATATGAAACAAAATACAAATTATGTATGTTTACATAAAAAATTGTAGCGTTTAAGTTTTATTATTACTTCTCCCCAACCACCCTCCCCCTCCACACACACACACACACACACACACAATCCTTATTGTTTTTCCTTAATTTTACTGCTTTGATCATTCCAGAGAGAAAATAAAATGCTAAGCAAGCTGTAGCTGAATGGTAGCAATGTGAGGATGAATGAATATTCTGAATTATTCTTTATTGTCTAGGGAAATAGAGAATTTGTGTCTAACTTTCCTTCAGGAGAGAGCTGGTGGGTGAAGTCGATGCGAGTGTACGTTCTGTGTTTGATGGGACAATTGAGCTTTTCTCATACAGTTCTTTACGAGCTTACTGCTTACTGATTTCTGAATAGCATTGGTAGAGGTAAGAGTTCAGATCACAATTATTTGAATGCAGTGTGAGGTATTGTGAGTGTAGAAAAATCAGTTGGAGGTATCATTTGCTTTGGATGAAAATGTACAAATTGATTCAATGATTAACATAACTATAACTTTTGTAAATGGCCTTAGACTAGGATAGCCTATTGATGCTTTGCAATATTGACTTCTGAAATCAAGGCGTTTTTGGGAGATGCTGATCAAGATTGCTTATCCCCCACCCCCTGGTAAATATAGGGCAAAAAGTCTTGTGTTTGGTGTTGCTTAGAATTTTATCAGAAAAACCCTAATGCACTAAATAGAGAATAACGTAAGTTTATTAACCATACCATTAATAGTACAGTAATTGTAGGTTTAATAGCATGTGTATACGTTTCAGCTGAGGAACAGAGACCAAACAAGATAATAGGCAAGGTTACACCAAGCAGCATAGAAATATAACATATCATATTGAAGCAAACAAGATAACACGATGCTTACGAAAGTACGTGAGAAATATTGAGGAAAATGGAGTCAAAAAGATTTTGGGAGAAATCTAGAATGATCTAGAGTGGAAACTCATGATTAAGAGCAATCGATAGACTAACCTCTGTTTTTTCTTGCTGAAGTGCCATCATTGAGTTGGATTTTAAATGGAGGGAAAAGAAATAGACTGTGGGAAAAAATGGCCAGAATAGTAAATTACCCTAATTACCAAGATATTCACAAGGTTATGTTTAACTGTAGTTGCTGAATGCTGACACAGGGGACATAAACCAAGAGAAAATGGGGGTGGGGGAGAGGTCAGAATTCCACTCAGATGATCAAATATTTTGCTTTCCTAACTGGAATTATTGACCATCAATCTGTTTGCAAAAAGTCAGCTCAGCATTAAACATCACACCGGATGTTTTTCCTTTCCTGTAGACACTGACTTGGGTTGGACTACATGTAGATATAGCACAGATAGAAAGACAAAAGCAATTTAGTGTGCAGCTTTAAGAAAAGAACAACAACTTGAAGAAAACTTGAAGAAAAAAAAGTTTATGTGCAACTGGATTGAGTATGTGTACGCTTCACAATTTTCTAAGGGCGAGACTTTTACTGTTAATTAGTTGGCAGGGGAACTAATCACTATAGACTCAGTTGACACACAAGTTGACTTTCAATGACATTGCAGTTCCAACTCTAAAAACACATTTTGCACAGTTTCCCATGTATTTTTGTTAACAAAATTATATTCATATCTAATATGTTCATTGCTTAGTGGAGATGGAGCAGATCTATTTTTGTACTGGTATTATTATTATACATAGTCCCTATAAAAGCCCTTGTTTATTTTGTGGAGTGTTTCTACAGATTCTTTTGTCAGAGATGCTTCTATTTTAGTGTAAAAATGTTATAATAACCTAAATGATCTTCTTTTACATTCAGGCAAGCCTCCCTTTATACATGTGGGAAATCACGTTGTTTCAGAACTTGGTCCCATAGTCCAGTTTGCAAAAGCAAAGGTAAGAAAAATGATGGCTGTTAGCATACTTTGGCATTGCAAATGCCATTTCATCTGTCACTTTGTGTCCTGTTCTGTTGAATAAGCAATCTAAAAATGTACATTTACTGTCATCTTTCATCTTTTGCTTAATAGGGCATTAGGTTTATGATTACAGTGTAGAAAGTAGGTATGCACTATTCTAGGCTTATAAAATGCTTTCTACTTTTTTGTCTTAAAACTTTCATTTAAAGGATAATTGTGTTTGATTAAGAAACGTGATGTGCTGCCTCCCCCTCTAAAACCTACACTGCATTTAAAAACTGTTGAATTAGGGCTGTTTGACAGCTCCCCCAATGGTCTAGTGATTAAATGCACTGCCTGATACAAGATTAAACCAAAAGACCAAGTTCAAATTACTGATTCATACTAATGACTTTATTTGGATGGTAAATAATCAACTGAATTTTCATTATACATTATTCTTGATGATCATTTGACTGCATTAAGAATGTAGATCTGAAAGTGTATGTCTGTAAACCTTCCTCTCTAGGGCCATTCACTTAGTGAGGGGCTGGATGAAGTTCAAAAAGCTGAGATGAAAGCCTACATGGAACTGGTGAATAATATGCTTTTGACAGCTGAGGTATGTCTGACTAAGAACCATTACTGTTTCTATATTCTCAATACTATACATTAGAATCAATCTAGTTGTCTCTCCTCTTCAATGTAGCCGGTAAGTGTGGTAGCGGCATTATTAATTAGGAGATGATTTGCTTTATAAAATATGACTCGTGCAAGGAATTCTAAGTGGTTTTGGTAGAAAACTGAATGGGACTAGGGTGCACGTATGACTTGGGTGATAAGCTGGGTGGTGTTTGAAGCAAGCCAGCTTTCTGCATGACTGACCAGAACTTGTGCACCATTATAAGGTGAGTTGGGATTTTAAGGACCCCCCACCCCAACTACTGCTTTATCATTGGGCTATGCTGTGTAGACCTACACAGATATACAGGTATAATATTTATATATTTACTTCTGGACTAACGTTTGTCAATTTGTTTTATTGTACAGCTTTACATACAGTGGTGTGATGACAGCACTTCATCCAAGGTGTGTAATGTCTTGGCACTTTAATAAAGTTTAACAAAATGGGCCTTTTATTTGTAAATATATTGATAAACCTAGAATAATAGTGTTAAATTTGAAAACCTCAATGTTTTGCATATTTTCTTTGACTCAAATTGAGTCTCACCCTCTGAGCACCTCAGTAATGAGGGCAATTCAGGAAAAAAAATTCCACAGCCTTTTTTTTAATAGGAACAGATGGTAACCAAAATACCAAATTTCTTCATGAGCAAACCAGGCCACTCTTGACTGCCCTTATTAGAAAATTTCCACTATCACTATTTTTACAAAATATTCTAATAAAAGGAAACTTTATACAGTTTTCTAAATGTTTCCAAATACGTTTTGTCATGGTCAGACAGCACATTATTGTAGAACCTGTTAAATAATTTTGATGAAAATAAACCGATTTCTGCCTAAACTGTTATGGTAATTGCTATGTTGCTTCTGTTTGTTAAACAATTCAATATAATGGACGTAACTCGACTATTGAGATGTTTTCTCCTTATAATGGCAGTCAATAGACCAGCCTATTTTGCTCTTGTTGGTGAGATGCCGTCAGTGCTTTTGGGATTTTGGTCCCCACCCCATTCGAAGGGAGGAAAAAAATAAACTGAAAAGACCTGAAGAGCAAGTTACCCTCGTTACTGAGGTGCCCACAGATGAGGTTTAACTGTAGTGCTGAATTTTGATACAATGGACACAGAACACTAAAAAATGGAAGGTGGGGGAGAAGAGTTCAGCGGACCATCAGATTATCATATCTAGAGCCTCCTTAACTGATGGTATTGGCTATCAATCTCTGCTGGAGGATAAGTCAGCATCGTAATTAAACACCTTATCAGATTGTTTTTTCTTCCCTCTCCTTCTCCTGAAGGCACTGACTTTGTTGAGCTACAGGTAGAATTTAGCTCAAAGTGATTTTCAGAAACAAAAAGACGAATAAGGCAGAATTAGTCATTCATTGACCTTTGAAAGCCTCAACTCTTAAATGACAGAGTACTGTTACTGCGCCTTCTCAACTTTTTGCAGCATCATTTCCACTGGACAGGCATTGCATTTACAAATATAATATTGTATATATATTTACTATATATAATTAACACACAGAGGGCCAGGAGTGGATCGATTGGGCTTGTACTTTACCAATCATTTGCAAATAGATTTGAATATAGAAAAAATGACAAGGAATAGGGCTTTTTTATGTGGTACATTACTCTAACTAAAGGATTTATCTAACCTAACAATTCATGGACTCTGCAATCTAAAACGTTCAACCTTTTTGGTATTTAAAGATAACTCGATCTAGATATGGCTCTCCCTACCCTTGGCCTCTTAACCATATCCTGGCCTATCAAAAACAATGGGAAATAAGACGCAAGATGAAAGCCATTGGATGGGCTGGGAAGAACCTTGAACAGGTCAGTCATTGTCATTTTTCAGTACTAATTGAAACGGTTTGCTATTTTAAAATGTTGCATTATAAGTAAAGCAAAATTTCAATAAATTTTAAGATGTGCTTATTTTTTAACCGCACAGAAGTTTCCCACACTTACAAAATCTGAAGTTGAAATACTGATGGAAACCGAATCAAAAGAATACTTTTTTGTACATAGGAATTGAGCGGCAAAGGTTGCATGAGTTATTCTATACAAAACTAGATCAGTTGTCTGACCAATTCACTGACACATCCGTGACAATGCTTTTCATCAGTACATCCTGGAATCAAAAGCCAGAATTTGTTGCTGGTCAACAAAATGATGCCTTTACCCAAAGCCAGAATTATTATTGAACATGTGACTGTTGCAGCCAACAAAAATATGCTTTAGCAAATTATCAATTTTAACTTCCCTCAAGCTTGAAAATACAATATTATGAAGTGTATAGTAATAAACTGCCCCTACACTTTGATTGATTCAATACTATAGCCTGCGGCCATGGCATCTGATCAACTGTGAAGTTGTTTATTGCAAAGCACACCTTTTCTGACAGAGTTTATTGCTTCAATCAGGAACATAATCTGTGTAACACAAGTGATCTTCAAAGTAAATTTTAGTGTGTGCTTGAGAGTGAGTGATTAAATAATGGGTCCAGGTGTCTTAAAAAAAGAATCCAGGGATTTAGTTGTTTATGGACATCACCTGGCCTCTGAAATTACATGAGAGAATCAACTTCCTCTGAGCCATTTTTGAAATATTCTGTAATTGGTTGTTAATCCCTAGTCTTCTGTTGAGGAAACAATTTCTGGAATCTTTGTGAATGCATTATTGAATTCTGAAAATTATCGTTGAGACGAATAAGGATATTTCACTAATTTAAAAAAATGAATGGCTTGCTCACTGCAGAATTATCTTATGTGATTCATAACTTTCTAAGTAAGAATGATTTAGTAACTAACACAAATAAAGAAGCCTAGAATTTGCTATTACTTATTCGAGTTCTTGTATATTATATGTATAAAAGCACCTTCGCCATTTTACAATGGTTTCACATTGCACCAATGAATTCATGCTCCCTTATATCTAGTTACTTTTCATTCAATCTAATTTTTTTCATAAATGAATTATCTAGTTTAGATTTAAATTTTGAAGATCTTGGTATTCTGACCTTTCTCATGGTATTGACTGTCTTGTATTGGCTGTCTGTGTAAAGCGTAGGAGTACATTCCTGACATTTAGGTATAATTAATTAGGAGCTAAATTATTTTAGGTGGATTTGGTCGGATTTAAATGCATAAATGTTTAGTATAACCTTTCTTTTGTCTGACTGCTAGGTCTATGAAGATGTGGATCAGTGCTGTCAAGCTCTTTCTCAAAGACTTGGGAACCAGTCCTATTTCTTCAACCGACAGTAAGTTTCATTGTCATGATCTTGGGTACAGCAGTAGAACATAGAGATGGCCCTTTTCCAACAGCGCTGTCCTTTGATTTTCTCAATTCCCTTATTTCCTTTTGTCTTGTCTTTTAGTACAAAGGAATTCTACTGTTACCACCATGTAGTTTCTTTTATTAACAGTATCGGACTTCTTGGCAGAAGAAACGCCCAGAAGCGATGTGTTTTACCATTTGAAGTGCGCCATTCTATTTTAAGGAAGGTTTTGTTATGCACAGTAGCTTCAGGGGAGGCAGGGAGCACACATTCCCTGCTCAATTTTGTTTCACTGAGGGATGAAGAGCGACTATCAATGGTCACAAGACTTTGTATTCTACATTACATTTTTAAGTGCTATTTTAGTGTATTTAATTTATGTTCATTTGGGAAAATGTAATTAATCTATTAATGACAGAAGGTTTTTTCACAAGGCAGAAGTATAATAAATTACAGTAATAAAAATTAAGATGGTGTGCGTCTGTGAAACCTACAGAGATTGGCTTAATTTAGTTAGGAAATGCCAACAGCTTATTGGGGACACAGAACTGCTATCTTAATATCACTTACAATGACCTTTCCTTAACCTGTTCTTCGTGACAGAATATTGCTGTAGGCCTCGACATTGTCTTCCAAAGTAGTGGTTAGCTAACCATTAATGTTTGTGCTGCAGGCCAACAGAACTGGATGCACTGGTGTTTGGCCATCTGTTCACAATCCTTACAACTCAGCTTACCAATGACGCACTAAGTGAAAAAGTGAAGAATTATGAAAACCTTGTAAAGTTTTGTCGAAGAGTAGAGCAAAACTACTTTGAAGAACTTGACCACGAGAGTAGACTCAGTCCCACTTCCAGGAGCTTGAGAGATACTCCGCCGAAATAAACACACAATGGACAAAAAAAGCTTTCACAAGACGAGAGGAGATGAATTCTTTTGGAAGCAAATCACTATAGTGTGGCAGCAAGTTTCAAAAGAGCAAACTGAAAGTACTAAAACCGCCACCTGCCAGATTTTGTGTGGTAAACAGTATCGCAAGAGATAGGAATATAACATTTTGCGGGTGACACTAATTATTAAAATGGCCAACCAGTACTTTTCCATTTAATGCAAATTTAATGAGCCGTTCGATGAAATTGTATCCACTTAAAGTACATTAAATGATAATGCAGACAAACAGAATGGTGTCTTTGATCTTACTCTGTTTTTTACTAATGCCTGTAACTATTTGGTAAACACAGTGACTCCACAAGTGCAAACAACTCGCATTATACATTAGAGGATTACCGGTAGCTGCAACAAGCCTAAATGGTTAATCTGATCTCTTCGGATTTTAACAAGTGTGTACTGAAAGAAGATCTTCGTGTTTACAAGATGATTAGTCCCCAGTTTATATTAGCATTCAAAAGGTGACTCCCTCCAGAAATGAGCCAGGCAGAGGGTCAGCTTTAAGCAGCTTGCTTGTTCATTTGTGTTTTTTTAAGCAGTTTCTGAAGACTTCCTGTTAGATCCTTATATAAACTACACACAATTTTAATTTGCTTTACTTATTTTATTAAGCTGAACCTGTTGTATTAAAGCCTAAAGAATTATTTTATCTAGATTGAACAATTTTCGCTTTAATTTATATGGTTCAAATGTAATCTATCTTTGTTTCTATGATTTCCCTCAGGCAATTGAATAGCTAGTGTGGCACCAGTTGTAGTTCAGTTCACCCATTGGATCCTCAAAAGCAGCAGTACTTTATGTAACTGCTCCAGTTAGACTGAGAAGTGACTTTGTTAAGAATTCTAGCTTTATCAAGTAATTTCTGTTATAAATTATAAATGAGCTGTGAAGTAATTAGCTGAGACTCGAACACGTCCTGTGAGACAGGAAAAGGTCAAAGAAGCTTGGTCACGTGTCATACTGGTCATCAGCAGATTGTCTTGTGACCTCCATTCCATTGATTTGTCCGATATATCTTTTAAATGTCTGAATTCATATATAATATTTGTGGGAACCACTGATTCTTCATATCATAAAATATTACCCGTATAAACAACCAGTGTATGTATTATTTAATTTTCCTCAGATGCATTTACTGTGCTAATTTTCAAACATGACGTGAAATTATTTGAAACGGATGACATTTTATTCATTGTTCAGCATGACATTAGGCTCCACAAAAGATTGCGATCATTTTTGATTTTGAAAACAAGCGTGAGAAAACAAATCCTCCAAATTCAGAAAAATCGATGTACTAAAACTTGGTTAAATGTAAAATATGAGCAGAGGAGGTGCAAATCAAAATTCGAACGCCAAATGATGTGTAAATGTTTCTGAACACAGAGGCCTATGGTCTATTGGAGGGCTATGGTCTATTTGGCCAGGATATTGACAGCATGGCTACTTAAGCGGTAGTCACAAGATAAACCAGACTCTTCTTATCAGGCATTTACTGTAGAACGAACATCTCAACTTTCACTCTATCCAGATGATGGAAAAAAAGTTATTCTTACATTTAATATACATTAAATCATATTGTTTATAAATTAGAGATTTTTCTGTAAGTGTGAATGTGGCAGTCAATTTGCACACAGCAATGTCCCACATAATTTTTCATGAAACAGCCATGAAGTGAAAGATTAAAGTGCAACAAACTGAACCAGGCTGATGTTTATATTTTTCTAAAATAATCACCGTATCATTCAGAAGAACAATATACAGGATGTAAACATATTAATCTTAATAATAATAATGATAATCCTTGCATTTGATATAGCGCTTTTCACGTCGGGAGGACGTCCCAAAGCGCTTCACAGAACACACTGTAAAGTGAATTGACTGCATATTTGTGGGCGAACGCGGCAGCCAATTGTGCACAGCAATGTCCCACAAACAGTCGTAGATTGAAAATGACCAATTTATTTTTGTTTTTGGAGGGATTATTATTAGGCTCTGTGTGGAGTAAGGAAACTTGCCCAAGGTTTCGCCCTCTGCCTGGAATTGAACTCAGGTCTCGCTTGCAAAGCGAGTGCTCTAACCACTGAGCTACAGGACTCCACGAGTTATATTATTTCAATAATATACGGATCTTCTAGCATCTGTTTCTCAGGTGATAAAGTGGTTATCCAAAAAGAAGCCATGGACACACAGGCCACGGTGCTGTTATCTCTTCTTTCTGTGTCACTGTCTGCTGATCAGACCGTAACAAGATATAATTGATAATAGTGGTTGTCACTAACTCTTTCGACGGGTGCTTTATGTAGGATTTAACCTGTGGACATGCAACTCTTGCCTTTTCACTTTTCTTTAAGAGAGCTAGGTGTAAAAATGAAACTTCCAAGATTTGTTTTGTCGACCCAATGCTTCAAATGTACAACTGGGAGAAGAAAGTACAGAGATGTACAAATGAAGACTGCTAGTGATGTGTTCCTAATGATGCCTCTTAGGATCAGCTGGGCTACTAGTGCGCGCTTCATTTCCTGCAGAATTTTTTACTAGCAAGACCACAGCTCCCATGGCTCTCACAACAATTATCACCCACTTGTTCTGCAGGTTTCGTTTTTTACATTAGTCTGGTTGAGAAATTCACAGTATTAATCATGGCTGAAGTTGTTATTTATCACCTGCTGGGTGAGAAATAATAATTTTGGCACTAGTGGGGCAGCAGGCCAGAGGTAAGGAATTAAGTAAAACATCTAAACACTAGCAAGGATCATTTCTCTGATTAATGATTCACTACAAAGAAAAACTGCTGCTCATTATCTGGTCTTACAAATCCAAACTGGGTTATGCGCTTGAAGAATTGGCTGCTGCCTCTGCATCTAGACAGTGACAGTAGATTTCTATAAAGGTCTGATGTTTTTGAAAAGATAAATCCACAAATATAATGCATGGATACTAATAGGCCAGCAGGTGCATTATTTCACTTGGCCAGCAGCAGAAGGTTTGTTCAAAAATCTATAAAGGAAAATTACAGCAGAATGCCACCTCCTTACTGGATGTCAGAAGCCATCTTACTGTAAATGCTTCACCCATGTTGGAGCGCAGCTTCTGGAACTGATGAGGTGAAGAGTGTTGCACCACAGCTCTGAGCTGGTAATCACAGAACTGAAGAAACACATATATCATCTGCCACATAGGTTGGCGTTTAAAGTGAAAAACCTTCAGATCATGTATAGTGTTGGACAAATGACAGCCCTGTGTACGTTCATCCCTGTGCAGATTGCTCAGTGCCCAACTATAAGAAAAAGGCTGAGTTCAGCTTTTTCGCTGACACAGTGTTATATTGGGTAGGCAGTTTATGTGCTGTGTTCAAACAATAGTAGAAAAGTGACATAAATTATTGCAAATGGTTTCACATATGCAGGGCATCATTCACACAACAAGTATCATCAGTTTGTCAGGTTAAGATATTGACAGTGCCACTGTAGTTTGCAGAAATTGTGTAAAGCCTCCAGCTACTGTTATTTGTAGATTTTGCTCTTATCTGTGTTAGTTGTGTATTTTGTCTTGGTGCAAAAGAAAAGTATTGGACTATGATTTTTGTCTTTCAGTAGCAAATCAGAACAGAACTGTTTAAGCTTTAAAGAGATGTGATGGAAGCAATACCAAGATATCTTAGCCGTTAGGATTTCATTATTTGGTAGAAAATAGTAGCAATAGTGTTTGCATTGGACCTTGATGTACTGGATCTAGAGCAACACAAACAAACAAACAAAATTACATTTCTATAGCGCCTTTCATGTCGGGAGGACATCCCGGGGCGTTGGGAAGTCCTCAACACAAATGCTGCAACCGCAAATTAACTTCTATCTAACCATGTGTCTTCATCAGAAATCAGGTGAAATCTGATCTATAACAGCCAAGTGTAACAAGAAAAGAAAACTAACCCAGTCGGTAGCACACCATGCAAAAAACAAATTGTAGTTATGGTTGTTTTGTTTCATCGAGCAAACAAGGTTGGTACATAATCAACTTTGAGAAGCAATCTGTAGTGGGTTCCACTGAATGAATGCACAGCATTCAAAACCCCATTCGTCTAAAGACACCAAATATTTTTATTCCCCAATGTTGGGATTTAACTAACCGCAATCTCCTTTACGTTATGATTTTCACATTGCATTAAAAGATGGGTTAAAATACCTTAAATACCTGCAACTGGTTCTGCCCTCAGTTTGTCAATACCAGAAGTAAATTTGTAGGTCTGTGGAGAAGGTCATAGCAGATTTATGCTCACACTGTTTCACACCCGAGGATTTGGTTCTTGAAATAGATGCATTTGAAAATAAACCTCAAACTTAATTTCAGTCATTCCGTATTGAAATAGTTACACTGACCTTGCTAGGAGTCCTTCACGTTTAATTGCCAGGCACTGGAGTGTTCATGGGATCTCTTACAGGTTTTGTCCAACGCTGTGGAGCACAGGGAATCTGCATGAACAGCAGACTGGCAAAATGTTGAACGGAAGCAAATTTGGGATAGAAATTAACCTTTCTCTTTCTTCCCCTCCTCCCTCCCCCCACCCCATTCGCATACTTTTTGGTGGTTTTAAGCCGTACGTTCTCATCTTTCAGTCAAGGTTAATATCAAAACCAAAACTTAAAACAAGGAGAACAAAATGCTGAAGGAGCTGGTTTTTTGCTGGAGTTCTGTACCGAGGTGCTGGTTGCCCTCTGGAATTTGCCCAAGTGACCATTTTTCTTCATGTGTAAGTCTATTCACTGAATGTCAGCAGGCTAATCGAATGTGGGAGCATCACAGCCAAGCAAAATCCTGTTTCCTTCCAACATCCACAGGCACACACTTTCCAGCAGGGAGTATAAAAATGTACAGCATGGAAGGAGGCCATTTGGCTCATTTTGCTTGTTCTGATGCTGGCTTATCCACTGGAGCGATCGACCCCAAACGTAATTTACATTTAGTAATTTTTTATATTTCTACTTGAATATTTGATCCATTCTGTTTTAGTGGTATATCAAAAGAAAATGATGTTTTTCTATTGATAGTCCTCAATTTATGCCCTTTGTTCTTGATTCACCAATTAGTGGAAATACTATTCTCTATTTATCCTATCAAAAACGTGTATAATGTTGAAAACCCTTTATCAGATTCTCTTCCTAATCTTGGTCCAGCAAAACCTGTCCTGACAGTTTGTCTTTTTATATATAACTGTTCATCCCTGATA